TTCATATAATAAAAGGTTAATATCTGAAATGGTTCATATTAAAAAACAGAAACATGGAATAAATAGACAAAATGACACGGAATTCTATTCTGACATTATACATTCTCTTTCTCCTTCCTAATATCTTCTCTCTCCCCCCCCCCTCCTATTTTGCCGGTTTTCGTTCTCGATAATGTTTTTCTTCTTGACATTTCTTATTTGACATCGTGCAAGTTAGATGCTTATTACCTTTGCAAATTTGCTTATAATAATTTATTAAATAATAAGACTATTATATTGTACCACGAAATGGACTACAATCTACATGCGTTTTTTTCTCGTTGTTTATTGATGGACTCTTAACACATTTACTAAGGTACATTAGCATATTACTAATTTTTATGTAATTAATATTAATTCTTTTTGTTCACGGTTACTTTTCCAGAATTTTCTTATAACTTTGTTAATTCTTGATAAAAATGACTCGCAGCGTATTACACAATATGAAAAATTTGATATTAAGGAATTATAATAATATTATAAGACCATGTGCATATTTTTAATTTAGAACGATGTTTATATATTTTAAGATTATTCTTGAAAATGACTCGATTGGAGTTGAAATGTTTGTTTATTATAATTGTTTTAATTTTGTTTGTATTAATTTTGCTTATTTAAATTAAAATTCTTTTTGTTATACATATTAATGCTCGTGTGATCAGAATACATCATAAAAACGAACGTGGTTTAATTCAAAACGTATGAAAAGAAGAGCATAAAAACCATCGCACAAGTTATAGTTTGTGATATTTAATTATCATTACATTAACAAAAACATTAGATGTTCTTATAATTATATTAGGTGTTGGAATTAATTCGTAGCGTTTTACAAGTGATGGGAAGTACTTTCATTAATGTATTTTTTAATGCTCATGTGAAATAAATAACATTCTTTCATTAAAAACGCTACGAATTAATTCCAACACCTAATAAATAAACGTGAATCTCAAGTTCAAATCAAGTATTTCAAATAATAACACATAATGTCACGACAAATTTCCATCTGTGCAAAGGATGTACTTGAGATTCATCATTATTTTTTTGCTGTAAAACAGAATCTGGAAATTCTCATTCTACACTTTTCGTGACAATTGGCGGTAACATTATTGTACGAGGCATCTTCACATATGAAAGAACACATTTATATATAATTATATCATACGTTGAATTTAATGTCAGCTATATGTAACTCTGCATTTTAAAAATATTGTGACTTTACTGAGGATAGATTGTGGTCGAAATGTCTAATGTTTTTATTAATGTAATAATAATTAAATATCACAAACTATAACTTGCGGTGATTTTTTATGCTCTTTTTTTCATACGTTTTAAAATTCTTTTATATGTTATTGACTCTTTGCCCTTTTTGTATACTACTTTTAGATATTAGAAACATCTCATGCGAGTAATCAAGTTTTAAAAACTACAAGAGTAATGTAGGATGCGTTCCGTTTTCACGCTAACACGCTGCAAGCATCAACCTTGTTGTTTATCAAATATTAAATACAAAGGGTAAATGATGCTTACAAGCGTAACGGGACGCTTATGGTTAAATGCTAATTGCAATTTTTTAATAATAAATCTGATAATTTTAGAACTGACCTCCATACATCACTGGCTTTGCTAAAAGTACTCTTTTTAATAACTTCCGGCGCCATCCAGGCATACGTGCCCGCTGCAGACATACGAGTCGTTTTGTAAACTTCCCTCGCCAAACCGAAGTCCGTGATCTTTAGAGTTTTGTATTGGAAGTCGTCATTTTCAATCGGTTCACTTAATAACACTGTCGATATAAAAAAGTTATTTACAATAAAAATACGATTTGTTTTATTACTAAATATAGTTATCATCATTAATATCAAAGTATCTTACCATTAGAACTTTTTAGATCCCTGTGAATAAGACTTATTGGAGCTTTGTTGTGAAGATAATCCATTCCCCTCGCAATCTGTATTGCCCAATCGACTAACACATCGGGCCTTATTTTCCTGCCACTGAGTACTCTGTTAAGACTGCCACCACGCGCATACTCCATCACAAGACACATATTGGGCATCTTTAAACACACTCCTTCCAATTGCACAATATTTTCGTGTTTCAACAACCAGAATAGTTTTGCTTCTTGTCGTACGTTTTCTAATGTTGCACTAGGTTCTTCGCCTGCATCTTGGCGTGCAGCCTTCACAGCAACTTCGCGTTTTTTCCAAAAGCCCCTAGAAATGATAAACAAATTTATTAAAGAAGACTTTCGCGATGGAATTTATATACCTTGAAACTATTTTTAGAGTGCTTTAGAATCAATATATCGGCATCCTTTTTATAAAACATTTTTTTAAAAATAATGATATTGCATTTTATAAATTAGTTTGCCTATATACCTGTATACTTTTCCAAATCCTCCGACACCTATAACTTCTTCCAATTGCAACTCCTCGAAGTCGATCTCAATCGGTTGGACTTTATCGATCACCGACGAAACTCGGTCGATGCTTTCTGCCTCTGCGACAAAATTCGCTGGAAAAATTCCCACTTTTCCACAAATTTTTCCAGTCCACCATCCCTCGTCACCCGAGATTTTGGCGTCCTTTGACAAAACCTATTGCAGAAAATAATAATAACAATAATAACAATAATAATATTGTATTTTCTTATGAAGATAGTGTATTATGCTATAACAATTACATGATATATAAAAATAATAGCGAATTCAGTTTGCATTAATATGCACTTGTATATGTCAGGGTTGGTAAAAAATATGTTCTAAATGTGTTTTAAAGAGTTTGAAACTTAGTTGATGTTTTTAATGTATGTTTTTTTTTTACAGTATCGTTTAAAGCATTATACATATTACATATTTGAAGCATTAAAAACATAAGCATTGAAAAGAAACACAATATGTTTTATTCTTAAAAACAAATATTAGTCTTTATCAACCCTGGCACTTATGCATATTAAAGCCGTTGTACAATGATTTAATCTGCGTAGATGTAAAATTTTGAATTATAAAATACAGATTTTACTTGATAGCACAATAAAACATATCATGACGATTTAATGTTTATTTTTATATTTACATTAAACATACATACATATTTACGTTAATTTGTGTATGACGGCTTTAATATGCACACTGAATGCATCCAATCAAATTCGATTATAAATCACCTCAACAGTTTCTCCTCTTTGCAGGGATAGTTCGTCTTCACCCTGAGCGACATAATCAAAAAGGGCTGTGAAAATAGTGATGCTGTTGTCCTGCCGCGACTGGGAAGAGGAATGTGTGCCGTGGGATGGACTAGTTTGTTGAGAGACGGTTCTAGCAGTTCCGCCGCTATGCGTGTCAGAAACGCTGCTATCAGACATATTGTTGCTAGATGTACGTCCATATATGGACCCGTAACTGTAAAAAATTGTCACGAATGCACAAGATGTTATCAAAGATACAATATCTATAAATTAATATGTCAGATTCTATCTTTTTTACCTAGTGGTATGACTATTGGTTCTGCTGTACTGATACCGTGGCGATGAGTTGGCCGTGTTGGGACTATGTGGATGTGAGGAGCCATTCTCTGAATAGAGTAGGAAACGCTCGCTCCGATGACGAGCATCTGGTTGTCCGTGGTCCATCAAGGTAGACAAGCCTCTCGCCGATAGCCCGGCTGGCGGCATATGGCTCAACACTTTCCTTACTCCTCTCTTCTGTAGCGTATATCACACTCCTGTCTTCTCTCGGCGCGTACGACGATATCTTGCTGTTTTGTTTCACGCAACGTGGGGAAATAAGAACACTAGGGTGATACTGTTTTCTCTTACTAATTCTGTCTAATGTTTACCTTGTTGTCACCCGATAGTGGGGATACATTGGGATCATATGTTATGTATATTATCGTCGTTTTACTCTGTCATTGGACGCATCCTCGATAACGATACGCGGTCCCGTGCCTCCGGAACACCATCGGCCGTGTTTACGTCGGCCTCGTCAATGTTCGGGGTTGATCGTAAGCACTAAAACTGCGAAATCGGACAATGCGCGACCACGTTGGTGTTACTGTGCCGCTTTCCATCGGAAATCGGGGAATGTGCGAGAGCGTTCTCACGACGGCGACCACGAGGCGAGAATATTCTGGATCTCCCAGGCTCGTGTCCCTACTACCCCGTATACAAAAACAATCTCATCACGGTGGGGACCGGCATTCTGAAGGCGCGTGTCCGTGTGTGCAGCAACGGCGGCGGAGGCGGCGGCGGCGGCGGCGCACAGGGCCCCGTTCGCCCTACCTGGGGGACGTTCGCCGCGGGGTCGCGGCCCACGGGAGCGGTAAATCCGTCTCTATCGGGATGATGAAGATCGCGTAACGCTCGTGGCGAAATTCGGTCCCCAGGCTGGTCCCGCGCGTCAGGGTGTGTATACCCACAAGCGCCCACTCTGTGTTGACGGGGGCCCTGTATCTCCTCTCGTTACTCGATTCAACCGCGTTTACGAGCGGACCCCGAAATCCGGATG